ACTAGGCACACATTGGACAATATGACATACAAAGTTCTTGGTCATGTGCCTGCATTATTAAATGTTAAGAATTTTGATACTGTTTATAAATACAGTGAGAACACAGAGAAACATTTAATGATTTGATTGCATATTTTGGTGAAGAGTCAGAAGAAAGAACATTAGAACAAATGGTCAGTGGACTGCATTCAAGGTTTTTTTTAAGTACATAGCTTGGGTCAGTGCCCAGCTTTGATAGCCTATGGCAATAAAATAATGCAGGCAAACTTAATATTAACTTTAATCTAAGCATAGCTAGGGAAACCTAGACACAGGGAAATTTAGCAGGCTAGGAAACTGACCAATGTATTCAGGGCCACTTGCATGGGCTATATATATGAAACCCATATATACGAAAGCCCTAAGATTTAAGTGTCCGTACCCCTGAAAATGTCTCCTGTAAGTAGTGTCCTCCCTGCCTCTCAGTCAACAATGGAACAACCAAGAAGGGGAATTTCTGGTTTATCTGGGAAGAACATAAAACGAAGCCAATCAGGGTTTTGCCTTCGTTACTGCAGCAAAATTAGTCTGTCAGTCCCTTGATGCTCAGTCATCCTGATTCAAGATCAAATAACATGGAAGAGATGCCAACAGTAATTTGTTTATTACTTCATGGTGTCAGGAGGCAAAAGTACACTGAGTACATAGACTGACTTGGAATGCCTTGATGGCAATGCACTTTTTCATCATCTTGTATACAAATGGCAACCAGCTGGGAAAGGTTTATTGCCAATATTTTTTATTCTCTAGTGGCTCAATCATAATCTTTTCTGTTCATATTTTAACATAGAAAACTCCAATTTGCTTCAGTAGACTGATACATAAATAAAATCTGGAACATCTGATGTAAGTAAAATGACAAGGCAAAAATTATCTAGTCATATTTTAACATGCAGACCTCACTTTTATTAAGAAAAGTAACAAATGTAGCAGAAAATGCTGAATGATTGCATCTACAGTATTTCTTTCTTTAAATTTAAATATGGAACATATCCCATCCTTGTAGTAATTATGTACCATTCAGAGTGGATTGTAACAATTCAAATCAGATTGCAGATTTAAGATCATACTTTAAAAATATAATTAAAGGGTGGCATCACATGATCTCATAAGCACACACACTTTAAGGTATTTTGCTGGACAAAATTACAGCTTGTAGAGATTTTTCAAAAGTCGCTTTATATAAAACACATCAATGATATACAGACAATCAGAAATGTGTCTGACTTAGCTAGCTGTGACTTCTTCAGGAATAAGTGCAGCTCAAGCTAGGTAGAGG